TATACAACACACTGCAAGGTTGATGTACTGTACACAACACAGTCCAAGGTTGATGTACTGTATACAACACACTGCAAGGTTGATGTACTGTACACAACACAGTCCAAGGTTGATGTACTGTACACAACACACTGCAAGGTTGATGTACTGTACACAACACAGTCCAAGGTTGATGTACTGTATACAACACACTGCAAGGTTGATGTACTGTACACAACACAGTCCAAGGTTGATGTACTGTATACAACACACTGCAAGGTTGATGTACTGTACACAACACAGTCCAAGGTTGATGTACTGTATACAACACACTGCAAGGTTGATGTACTGTACACAACACACTACAAGGTTGATGTACTGTATACAACACACTGCAAGGTTGATGTACTGTAAACAACACAGTCCAAGGTTGATGTACTGTACACAACACAGTCCAAGGTTGATGTACTGTACACAACACAGTCCAAGGTTGATGTACTGTACACAACACAGTCCAAGGTTGATGTACTGTACACAACACACTACAAGGTTGATGTACTGTATACAACACAGTCCAAGGTTGATGTACTGTACACAACACACTACAAGGTTGATGTACTGTACACAACACACTGCAAGGTTGGTATACTGTACACAACACACTGCAAGGTTGGTATACTGTACACAACACAGTCCAAGGTTGATGTACTGTACACAACACACTGCAAGGTTGATGTACTGTACACAACACACTGCAAGGTTGATGTACTGTACACAACACACTACAAGGTTGATGTACTGTACACAACACAGTCCAAGGTTGATGTACTGTACACAACACACTACAAGGTTGATGTACTGTACACAACACAGTCCAAGGTTGATGTACTGTACACAACACAGTCCAAGGTTGATGTACTGTACACAACACACTGCAAGGTTGATGTACTGTACACAACACAGTCCAAGGTTGATGTACTGTATACAACACACTACAAGGTTGATGTACTGTACACAACACAGTCCAAGGTTGATGTACTGTATACAACACACTGCAAGGTTGATGTACTGTACACAACACAGTCCAAGGTTGATGTACTGTACACAACACAGTCCAAGGTTGATGTACTGTACACAACACAGTCCAAGGTTGATGTACTGTACACAACACAGTCCAAGGTTGATGTACTGTACACAACACACTGCAAGGTTGATGTACTGTACACAACACACTGCAAGGTTGATGTACTGTACACAACACAGTCCAAGGTTGATGTACTGTACACAACACAGTCCAAGGTTGATGTACTGTACACAACACACTAAAAGGTTGATGTACTGTACACAACACACTACAAGGTTGATGTACTGTACACAACACACTGCAAGGTTGATGTACTGTACACAACACACTGCAAGGTTGATGTACTGTACACAACACAGTCCAAGGTTGATGTACTGTACACAACACACTGCAAGGTTGATGTACTGTACACAACACACTACAAGGTTGATGTACTGTATACAACACACTGCAAGGTTGATGTACTGTATACAACACACTGCAAGGTTGATGTACTGTACACAACACACTGCAAGGTTGGTATACTGTACACAACACACTCCTCTGTACACTGTAAAACTGCACACTACACACTCCAAGAATGTTATGTTCAACATCCCAGTGCTGTACACAACACACTGCAAGAATTGTATACTGTACATAACACACCCCAAGGTTGATGTACTGTACACAACACTCTTCTGTACACTGTAAAACTGCACACCACAAACTAAGAATGGTATGTTCAACATACCAGTGTTGTACTGTAAACAACACACTCCAACACACATCAATAATAATGTAAATGTTCAACCTCCAGGTGATATACAATCCCCTCAATGATGTACCAAACACATCCAATGTACAACATCCCAGTGTTGTATCCCCCGATGTATGCTGACTGTACCACACAGTGATATACTAGGTACACACAATACTGTCTGTTGCAATTGTTGTGCTGAGGTGTCAACAACCATAGTGGAATGATGTCACTATTCTCCGTCGCTAGCCACTACTTTTTTCATCTTTCTGGTAATTGACGGATCCCATCGCTGTAAAAGGCTGGCTCTTTGGCTGCCATCCATTCATCGATCCATTTTTGACTTAATTGTAATTGGAGAAGTGCTGGTCAGTCAGGCCATGTTGCATTGATTGGAAGAGATATTAATCGGAAGAAGCAATGTCTGGGCTATATTTTTCATCGCCAGTTACAATTCAATGCGAAAACCCCTTTCTTTTTTTTAAGTTGACCAGTTGTTCACACTTGAAAAAACAGAGTTCGACATCTCTTGGCTTCAGTTCATATGGCACCCAATTTCCTACCTTTTTGATCATTTCCATTTATTTTAGGCAATAAAAAATGGCTGGTTGAGAGACTCCAAGTGTTTTTACGAGTTCCTTTTGCATTTGATCTTTATCGAGCTTTGTCTCTAATTCTTCCTCCTCAAACTTTGGTGGTGCACCGGGTCTTTCTTCATCTTCCAAATCAAAATTGCCACTTTTAAACCATGCAAACCACTTCTGACACGTTCGTTCAGCTAGAGCATGGTCATCATAAACTTCCACTAAAATAAGATGACTCACAACAGCTTTTTTCTTCATATTGAAGTAATGAAGTAAAACTCCCCACAAAAACACATTATTTGGTACAAAAGTTAACATTTTAGGTACAAACAGAAACTAGATTGTTTATGAGGGGTCGGTGGAAGGGTGGTCTAAACCGTTGGTTTTCGACAATTACGACCCGGGTTCGATTCCTGCATTGGGCACTTTTTTTTTTCTGATTTAAAAAAAATGCTCTAATGGCCCCCGATTCTTGCAAAAGTCCAACCCCACCAGTGAGTGCATGTAACCAAACGGGGATCTGACACATTTGTAAGTGCGAAGTCGAACTGCTTTTCACATGTGTAGACATGTGGTGCACTTACAGTAAAAGCAGTCGCCTACTTCTACCCACCATGATTATCATGGCCTGTACCATGTGTACTAGGGATAAGCAAAAAACAATGGTTGCCTGTAAAGTCGGTTTTACGGGCGAAGATTTTACGTGACAACGGTAGAATATTTATAGATATGAATATAATTAAATTGCACAATAGGAACAAGGAATTGAATGAAAATAAGAATTGCACAAATTTTAACTATAGAAATATATTTTGTTTACTAAAACATTGTACATGTAAACTTAAACTTAACTAATTCCTATTTGAGTGATTTTGTTGAGGATAGGACGATGATAAGAGAAATATGAAATGAAAGGAAGTGTTTCTGCTGTAATGTGTCTTGCGAAAGTCAAGTCGATAGTTGTTCCTTTTAACGTAGTTGACTTAGAAACGTTTGATACGCAATCAAGATTATACGTATTTTTCATGAAATTAAGAAACGAGTTGTCAGGCTTTACGTTTTTGTTAAAATCACCACACAGAAGAATCGGTATACTAGAATCAACTTGCACGAACGGTGGCACGTACTGGCTGTTGTGAATGTACGGACCGAGTCCTTGCCATAGTAACATTCCAATATCCTGCATACTAGCTCCTGGATGAATATATACAGCACCGAGTATAAACTTGAAGCTAGTATTAGCGGCGAAGCAAGTAACTTCAGTCATGCACATGTCACCCTTGGTTTTAATGACACGAGTTACGTCTGTAATCGCAACTTGGAACACTTCCGCCGTAGATGTCGATGATAATTTACGATAGATCGCCACTCTACCAGCCGCGTTGGTATTTGAAAATCAAAACACTTATTCAGATCGAAGGTTCAAATTTTTGCTAAATAAATTTGAAATTAAATAAAATTTGTAATTGTAAATGATGAAGTTGAAAATTAAAACATTTACTTAAATTAGATGTTAAAATTCTTGCTCAACACAGTTTAAATAAAGTTTTCTTATATCTGCCACTTTTTCTTAATATTTGTAATTTTAAAGAATCAATTCGAAAATCAAAACATTTATTCAGATCGAAGGTTCAAATTTTTGCTAAATAAATTTGAAACTATTTAAAATTTGTAAAATAATAATTAATTAATTTTAAACTAATAATTTACTTAACACTATCAACATTTATCAATAGTATGACATAACCTATAAACTCAGTTTCTCAACTTTTGTGTCAATCTAACAATTAATCAATCAATCATAGTTTACGATAATGAAATATCAGTGTACAATTATTTACCTTTATTGTTGTAGTTGTTGTAAATGACGAATCTAAGCACTCCACATTTTCACTACAGACACAACTGATGATACTTTAACCACACGTGTGAACTTGTATTATGACGCTTTCTTGTTTTTCCAACGCCAAGAACGTTCGAGAAAGACAAAGACAGAGACAAGCATGCGCCGATTCAATGCGCCTAATTCTCTAGCGCTGCGCGCGCAGCACTCTTGTTCGGTGACTCATCGTAACGTTACCGGGCGTTACACTTTTTCATAAGTGACTCCCAGCCGCAACCTAATTTAAGACGTTGTCACGTCAAAAAAAAAAAGGTTGTTTACACTACAGAGAAATGACGGTTACTGAAAAAGGAAGCTTTGTGATGACACTTCAAAATAATGGTCTTTCCAGATGAAACAATGGAATAATAAACTAGTAGCGCCATCTTTATCAAATCCACACAAACTTATTTATACTCCAAATAACTTGATTTGTATATTGTGTTTATACATTTCTTCAATTATTTCAAGAAACAACTCTTATGTGTAAACAGCCTCCAAGTGCAGGCTACATAGGATAAATAAAACACAATAGCTGTAGTGTGTGGTCTGGTGGATTAAATTGACGAAATCACCGAAGAGGTTCAGCATTGAGACAAACCAAGCCTTCCCTCCAATTCCCTTTTTCATCTTCAGTTGAATTAAATGTGATAATTCATCATTCATTCTAAAAAAAAAGAAATAGGGTTAAATAATCCCATCATCAACTAAGCACTTTACCCATGTATATATACCCTGGGGGTTGGTGGAAGGGTGGTCTAAACTGTTGGCTTTCGACCGATATGACCCAGGATCGAATCCTGCATTGGGCACTTTTTTCTAATAAAAAAAAAAATGCTCTAAGGCCCCTTGATTCTTGCAAAAGTCCATCCCCACCAGAAAGTGCAAGTAACCAAACGGGGCTTTGGCACATTTGTAAGTGCAAAAGTCGAACTGCTTTTCACATGTGTAGACATGTGGTGCACTTACAGTAAAAGCAGTCACTAACTTCTACCCACCATGATTATCATGGCCTGTACGACATGTACTAGGGATATTAAAAAATATAAATACGGTTAAACCTGTCTATAGCGCCCCCTCTTGGCCCTCACCAAAATAGGGTGCTATAGAAAGGTCACTTTTAATATTAATCGCATCGTACTACGTATTTAAAATCAGGCGCTATAGAGAGGAAAGCACAATTTAGAGGGGGCGCTATAGACAGGTTTAACTGTATAAATATACCCTACAGTCACCAATCTCATACAGACCATATTTGGGACTTACAGCTAAGGCTTGCAATGTTGCCAGATAGAGTAAGGCCAAGTCCTCCAATGATGATGATAAAGTTAGTCCAGAGATCTGTTATCACACATGGTGTTGTTAAGAATGTGTTAAAGAAGGGTTAAACAGTTAAGTGGGTTAAACAGGACCTTTGTGAGAGGCCACTGCTTATCATAAAAACAGATTGAGGAGCATGAACTCATGGAATCCATGTAATCTTTACACAAAGGGATAAGAAACAACAACAAGAAATGGGTGGACAAACTTTAGTCAACAAGTCAAGGTCAACAAAAAGCCAACAACCAGTAAACCTTCTTCTTCTTTCTTATCTCCACTCAATCATATTAAGGTATCAAGCTTGTTGATGGTGTCTGCTGGGGAAGAGTAGAGCTCATCAATGGATGAGTCAATACAGTCAATAATGTGTTTTGGGGTTGTAGGTTGACACTTAGTACATAGTGGGAAAACCTTGCAACCATTCTGTCACTGTCCGTAGAGGACCAGACTTAAGTCTGGAAATCAAAGATTGTTGTTCTCTTGGGAGGAGAGAACCGGTACTTGTCCTTCCTGCTCCAGTAAACCATGGTTTCGGACTATGGACCTCACCAGTACAGGAGCACCTTCTATTTCATGACTTTCTATGAGAGGAGGTATGGAATCTGTCGACTATTGCCAGGTGTTGTGGCTCATTCCTCATCACTACCTTACTGTTTTGTACTGGGGTGGTGAACATTGTTTTAAAGAACTTTTAAAGAAAAAGAAACAATAGCCAAAACAAAAATAAACAAGAACTGGAGGATCCCACCTAAGCACAGTTGGTACAGTGGAGAGAACCCAGGAGGAGCTCTGAACATCAGAAATAGACAGCATCAAACAACACAAACAAGATTTAGAACAGGCCATCTCAAGCCATTGAAGATAGAAAATAATAACAAAATTTATCCCACTTGCCCAAAATGTAGTTTGGTACCTGCAGCTCCAGAACACAGTTTGGCTTGCATTAGATGCACTAAACAGGACCTTTGGGAGAGGCCGCTGCTCATCATAAAACAGCTCGAGGAGCATGAACTCATGGAATTTGTGTAATCTTTACACAAGGGGATAAGAAACAACAACAACAACATTGTTGATAAGGCACAATTTGGATTATAGATTATAAACACAAGGTCTTCTTCTTATCTCCACACTGGGTGAAGTAGAATGCTTCTGCCTTTGTCATTAAGACTGGGAGCGCTACTCAGTGGCAAGCCGACTTAGCTCCAAAGAAATGGCCGCCTCTGACATGAGGAACAGACTCCATGTGCAGCCGCTCCTAACATGGAATACAAACGCTGCTCATCCTGTATCTCTGGATTAGGAGCCCTTACAGGGTACTATCAGCCGGGCCAGCTGTGCCCAGGTTTTTTAGTGAGCTTGTTACTGCTCCTCCTCCTCCTTTTTCATCCGGGCTTGGGACCGGCAAAGGCGGAGTTCAAACACAAGGTAATAACACCAAATCCAAATAAATTAATAGTGTGTGACGTTTCTGTAACAGCATTGTTACCATCATCAGACAAAAGTCCTGAATGAGAAACTTTACACACTATTTATTTGGATTTGACCTTATTACCTATATAATGCATTGTTCTAATGCATATTTAAAGGGAGAGGTGCTACTTCATATTGTAGCGAAATATTTATTATTTTATGTACAGATTATTAATTTATATCTTGCTACTCTGTATACTTCTCTTATCACTTCTTGTGTATTTTATAAATTTTATAAACACAAGGTAATAAGACCATATCCAAATAAATAGTGTGTGACGTTTCGGTAACAGCGTTGTTACATACTATTTATTTGGATTTGGTCTTATTACCTTGTGTTTATATTCTATAATCCAAATTGTGCTTTATAAATTGCTATGTCATCCTGAAGTTTGACTTTCCAAATTTTCTGCATGACAATATATATATGTGATATAAGGATGTTGTCTGTCACACACAGTGGTGGCAGTCAGGTAACTTATCTTCCAGACAGGCCGTTGTCCTGTCTAGATGTGATAAACCTGTGGTTCCGGGGTGAGTGGACAAGGGATAACCAGAGACCTGCAAGGAAATTGGATCCAAGAAGAGTAGAGAAGATACTTCTGAATTATAATGTTTACATGATGATAGAAAGTAAAACTAATGACAAAAAATATACCATATACAATAGAACCTTAATGAGAGGACACTCCCACTAAAGGACAGTTTTCATCAACAAAATTATTATTTTTACTATTTATCAACTCTCCGGTAAGAAGACACCTCTCCCTAAAGGACACTTTTTCTCTGCATTTAGGTGTCCTTTACAGAGAGAGGGGTTCTACTGTATATAAATATATATATTTTTAAAATCTTTCCCCATGAAAGACAACCTATCTTTCCGGTCTCTCTTGGAGGGTGGTCTTACTTTGGAGGTTGTTGAAAATGATATCATTATTATAAATATTCAGGAAGGTGGTGCATCAAGTTGGAAGGTTTGAATGTGTTGTAGACCAAAGGCTCATCCACTAAGTAAGGGGAGGTCTATCTTGACAGACATGTTGTTCCATTCCCCCAACACCACTGTCATCCAGCCATGCAGTCTTCTCACCATGCCCCGCAGAGAGGCGTCAGCCAGAGGAGTCCTGTTGCCATGGAAATCCAGCCAGACATGGAGATCAGCTGTCAGGAGTGAGACAGTCGCTTTGTCCTTGGCCAGCCCTAGGATGATGGAGGTAAGCACCTCTTGGACATGTCTGGACATCATAGTGGATCATGGTGTGTACTTGTTGGTGCAAATATCATCTATATTGGAACATATTCTTTATGTGTTTTACAAAATATATTACAATATTTACATAATAAAAAATAACCTCTCGCTGGAAATCCACCCTAAACCACCCCTTTCCTAACCATCTTCTTTCCACACCCTTACTAGGGAAAAACAAATGGCGATTTCAAAATTATGAACAGACCATCTTAGAATGCTCAAATTTAATGGAAAAATCAAAACATTCCCAAAATGCCCCAAATGCGATTCCCAGCCTGCCAGTCCTGAACATCTATTAAATTGTATCAAATCCTCCAAAAAAGACTTCAGGGAAAACCCCAGGACTATAATAGAAAAGCTGAGACAATGGGACCTAATAGAGATCGTTTAAACAACTTGAGGAATAAGCAACAACAACAACGTAATAAAAAGGCATATATTGGATTGAATAAAAGATTTATTTGCCAATATTTCGGTTGGCTGAGCGCCAACCTTTGCCAACCAAAAATGTAATGCCTTGACAAAGGTTGGCGTTCAGTCAACTGAAATATTGGCAAATAAATCTTTTATTCAATCCAATATATGCCTTTTTATTATGTAAAGATTTAAATATGGAGATTGCTCTATATTCAGAATAATACAATATATAATGCAACCAAAAGATAAACAAAATGCATTGTTTTAATGCATTTTTAAAGAGATATGCCTCTTTTATAGTACAATAGTTACATAAATGAGAAAGTTTTGAGTTGAAAAAGTCTAACATAACTAAACACAAGGTAATAAGACCAAATCCAAATAAATAAATAGTGTGTGATGTTTCGGTAACAGCGTTTTTACCATCTTCAGACAAAAGTACTGAATGTTAATCATTGTCATTCAGTACTTTTGTCTGAAGATGGTAACAATGCTGTTACCGAAACTTCACACACTATTTATTTATTTGGATTTGGGCTTATTACCTTGTGTTTATAATCTATAATCCAAATTGTGCCTTATCACTCTAACATAACTAATCATTAATGACTTATCATGACTGAGTCTCTGATTAGAGACCGGGGCTGCTACGTCTTTTTTTTTTTGGGAGTCTTTCGGTCTTTCATGGGAGACTCTATCTACTTTCTGTGTTCCACTTCTGTATAATTCTCTCACTTGTTGTCTTATAGTACTGTTGTCCATTATGTCCATTGCTTTCCCCAGATTTTTTTTAAACTTATGATATCCCTCTCTCTCTATATATATATATACAGTAGAACCTCCCTTTAGCGGACACAACGCTAGCAGACATCTCTCTACAAAGGACAGTTTTCATTTGCAAAATTACCATTTTTACAATTTAGCAACACTCTGGTAAGAGGACACCTCTTCCTAAAGGACACTTTGGCTCTGCAATTAGGTGTCCTTTACAGGGAGGTTCTACTGAATATATATAATATATATATTATTAATAGTAATTTTTTTTTTTGGAAAAAAATAAATTTTATAAATCTTGAAATTCTCATAACGGTACTATAATATATATATATATATGTGTGAAAAAATAGTACAAATGTGATATTGTACTGGGATAAGGAGATGCCTTTTTCTTAATATATATATATATTTATATATATATATATATAAATATATATAAAATATAATAATTCTTTAAGGATAAATGAATAAAAAAAAAGAGTTAACAAAGTATCCAAGGATTGTTCATTGTTGCAGTTGAGATTTGACTAGTGTCCGAGATGGATGTCCTTAGGCGCGTTTTTCCTAGGCTATGCCTAG